CCATCTGGTGGGGTCTCCATTGGCCTCCTTGATCAAGAGGTCAGATGACCCACCACCTTTACAGGACGTTTTGCGAGATGCTCATAGTCCCTGGGACCTAATCGACCTAGGAGGGCAAGGAGCAAAAAGTGTCCTTTGTATCCCTCTGACCACATTAGTATAGGCCTCAAACTATGGCTGTTAAACATCCAATAAGGTTAGTGCCACCAGTCTGGTACTTTTAATTACCATGTACTATGTAGATAAAGCTTGGGTGAAAAATCAAATGTTCTCAGATAAACCTTGACTAGATACATATTTTGTTCCTTAAACCAGGTGACTAAACTCTGACCTTAGACATTTTAAGATTATGTGTATATTATTATTATTATTATTATTATTTGTCTTTTTTTGAGACAGGTAGCCCCAGCCATACTGTAACTCACTATGTAGACCAGGCTGGACTTGACCTCACAAGGATCCACCTGCCTCTGCCTCCTAAGTGCTGGGATTAAAGGTTTGTGCCACCATGCCCAGCCGTGTGTATTACTTTTGTCTCATTCTTTATATATCATAACAAAACTACACAGACCTTCATCACTTGCTTAGGCTTCTCACTTTTTGTCTATTTTGGAAAATATCTCCATTTCCATATCCTTTTAACATCTTTTACATTCTCATTTTCTTTTTTTCTTTTTTAATAATTATGAGACATTATAGCATTAACAAATTTTCCATCTGTTATGAGAATTCTTCATGCAATGCCATGGATGTCAGAAGAGGGCTTCGGATTCCCCTGGAACTGGAGTTAAGGATGGTTTGTAGTTGCCATGTGTGTTCTGGGAATTGAACCCGGTTCCTCTGCCAGAGCAGTCAGTGCTCTTAACCACTGAGCCATCTCTACAGGCCCTCATTTTCTTTCTTTTTTTTTTAAAAAATTATGAGACGTAATAACATTAACAAATAAAATTTCCATCTGTTGTGAGAATTCTTTTCCTGGGGATGCTAAGCAATGCTTACTCCCTTTTAAGGTTCTAGTGTAAACCCAATGTTTAATTAAAGTTTTTCTGGGGAACCAGTGAATTTTCTGAGCTCACTTACCAAGATAACTGAGGGGTTGCTGAGGTGTATGTATGACCTGAGGGTATGCACACTGGAAAATCTTTACCCAGCGTGGGTCAAGCCTTCTTTTCCTAGCCTTCCCCAGATCGTATACTTTAGCCCTCCCCCAAACCAGGAGGCCATGTATGATTAGGGCCAAATCACATACAGTTGGCTGGCAAGAGTGGCTGGATACTCTGGTGAGGGTCTAGTGACCCTGCTTGCCCCTTCTTTAATTAAGGAGCACAACTGACAACAATTGAATTGTGACTATGTTTAGCAATCAGGCTCAGCTGAAGTCGTGATGATGGCAGTTATTTCATGCAGAAGAGACTGCTGTACAGTATCATCTTATTAAAAGGACATGGAATTTAAAAGGATTTGGTGCTAGGATCCACAAATGAGGGAGGACATACATCTTTTATTTTTCTGAGTCTGTGTTACTTCACTTAGTATAACAATTTCTAGATCCATCATTTACCTGCAAATTTCATTATTTCATTTTTCTTTACCGCTGACTAGAACTCCACTGTGTAAATATACCACATTTTTGTTAACCACTCATCAGTTGAGGGACACTTAGGTTGATTCCATCTCTTAGCTATTGTGAAAAGAGTAGCAGCATACATGGTTGTACAGGTGTCTCTATAACAGGATGAGTCCTTTGGGTATATGCCAAGGAGTGGTATAACTGGGTCATATGGTAAGTTCATTTTTAGTTTTTAAAGAGTTTTCCACATTGTTTTCCATAGAGGTTGCACAAGTTTGCAATCCCACCAGCAGTGAATGAGCTGCTCTGCATCCCCTTTCTCTACATCCTTTGGCCAGCATTTGGTATCATTTGTTCTCTTGATCCTTGCCAGTCTGGTTGGGATAAGGTGATATCTTAGGGTGGTTTTAATTTGCATTTCCCTAATTACTAACAATGTTGAACAGTTTTATTTCTTCTGTTGAGAGCTCTCTATTCAGCTCTTAAGCCCATCTTTTAATTAGATTGCTTGCTTTCTTGATTCTTTACTTTTTGAGTTCTTAATATATTCTGGATGTTAACTGTCAGATATTCTGGATGTTAAACCTCTGTC